AAAATAGTATATGATTTTTTACCTCTACTTATAATAATTAATTACTTCATTTTTAAAAAAACAACACATTTTGACTTTCCAACTACCTTCATTAATAAGGATAAATAAGAAATTTTAATTGATAACAATTTTATTTTTATAAATCTTTGTAATTTTCTTTGTAATTTTATGAAGTAAAAGTATAATAAGTAAAATAAATTGAAAATAGTATATGATTTTTTAATTCTCTGCCTTAAGGATACAATAAAATTAAGGATTGACTAATGATTTTTACTTTTTGCATGAAAAATTAATGTGAAAATTGTCTTTAATCCAAGTTGGGAATGCCATATGTTTGTTGTTTATTGACATATTTTAAATTAGAATTTAAACATGTTAAATCAATATTCCAAAAGTTAATAAATTAACTTTCCCTTTTTTTAACATAAAAATTGATAATTATTAACCAATCACTTCCTTTTATCATGTGCGCACTTAATAAAAAGTTTCGTTAAACAAAATATGAAAAACTATCCCAATTAACTGTCGCTTTTTATATGCAATTTTTGTTTAGTAATTTATTTAATACTTTAAAAATTTTGAGTAACGACCTAAATAATCAAGTGATAATCTCCTTCAACTAGAAGTAAGATGTCATAAGTTCGAGCCGTATGACATACGAGTGAGGTGAGATAAGGGATGTAAAAGAGTTACTTTCCGTTATATAACTAATATTATAAAAAAAAAATTCTTTAAAAAATTTGACTATTATTCATTTATTTTATAAAATAAAAGTATACGCAAGAAAAATGTCAAAGCAACAATTAAAAAGAATAAAGACAATTTATCTAAAATAATAATAAAACTGTAATACGAGTAATTAATAAAGAGGATGAATCAGTGACAGTAGAGTTCTTACCGCTTTTATTATTAAACTAAACCGCTCAATATCTTGACTCACAAAAATTCAGTTAAAATGAATAGCGAAGGTCATTTGTCCCATATTACAATACGAACCTCATTTACTACTACATTTTAATGATGTGGATTTCTTTTAATTGTTTTCTTCTCCCTTTCTCATAACGTATAGAACTTTTAGTTCGTGACTTATCCAGTTATCCTCTTCTCACAAGTCACAAGCATATATTTCCTTACAAATTATCACAAACCCAAGTATGGACAAGATTTATTTATACCTTGCTTCTATGAATAAAATCATTACTTATCATATAAGTAATGATATGTTAATATTTTAATTATATAAATGAATTACAAATTGTTTGGATTATCAAATTCAAAATTTTATTTATTTCAATAAAAGTTTGAGGTTTTAATTAAAATTTTGAAATAAATTTAAAAGCTTAAGCGCTTAATATGAATTTTGCCATTAAATAAAAAATTAAATTATAATATAACCTTTCAATAGAAGTAGAGTTTTTCATTTTTTTTAAAAAAAAATCTTAAATTATACAATTAAAAATTGTGACTATCTTTTATCTCTTATAACGTATTTTACCATATCTTATATTATTCAAATTCAAAATATTTTACTTTCACTAAAAAAATTTATCATAAAACTATTTTAGTAGCTCACAATAGCTGGTGAATTCTTCTTATGTGTATTCTACAACGTCAATAGGAGATGGTCCCCTTTGCACATTTCGTGACACTTGTTAAAGGAGAGCCAGGCCAGCTAATAAAATCCTCCCTCGATCTCATGTGGCCAGCCTCAATTGGTGGTTGCTATTTGCAAATTGCAATGAAAAACTTGAGGGAACAAAGGCTAGACTTTGAAGCATAAAGCAATTTGGTTGGGAGGTATAAATTTTGTTTTTTTGCAATCGAAGGTTGAACTCAACTAAGGTTGAGATTGAATGGTGATGATGAATAGGAGGAGACTAGGGTTTAGGTTTTCTTTGTATAAATAGAGGAAATTTGGAGGATTTTCTTAGGGTTTGGAAGGGTAACTAATAGTAGAGAGGGGTGAATTGTAAAAAAAAAAAAAAAAAAAGATTTTGGGTTTGAGAGAGACAGATAATGAGGTTTTTTGTGAGGAGGCTAGCAAAGAAGAAAAAAAAATGGAGGGGAGAACTTCTGGGGTTTTTTCTTAATAAGAGATGGGAAAGAAAGTCAAGTTCCAATGAGTATTAAATTTTCTTAGCCATGTCAGCGCTTTTCTTAGCCATCTCATCACATTATCTCCACATTGACATTAAATTTTATCATGTCACGTAATCATATATCCTACACATTGCCAAATCATCAATAAGTTAACATCTTTAAGCTGAACTTGATGAAATGACAACGATATCACATTTGAGCTAATTTATTTCAATTAAAATTATATGAATTGATTTGTTTTAATATAAAGATACATGAGTTTAAGTTTTTCAAAATAAAAAAAGGTGGATTTTAAGCAATTAGAAAGTTCATGAGCTAATATACTTTTTTTTTTAATATTTTAATTATGAAATTGACTTGAATAGTTACTCATAAAAAAAAAAATATATGAACTTTATAAAAATAATTAGAGCCACTTAACTCACAAAATTAACTTAAGTTAAAATACCATTTTCGATAACTTGATATTGTGTTATTTATATTCGTGAAAAAAAAAAAAATTAACAGACGTGTAAGTGTTACTGTTTCATCGTAAGCGACTGGTCGTGGAAGTCGTACGGTTGCTATAATTAGGACACGTGTCGGTCAGCTGGTGGCACTAACAATATTTCTGTCAATGCTTCCTCTTCACAGCACACGGATTGGACACGAGCCAATGCCTCCTCTTCACAGCACACGGATTGGACACGAGCCGGACGGCGCGGTGAAGCGCCGTTACCAACTGTTACTGAAGTCTCCTCTCCCCCTATTTATTTATTTATTATTATTATTTATTTTTAAAGTTATAGAATTTGAATTGTATAATTTAACTAATTAAATGAAAATTGAGTTTTTTTTAATAAAAAAAAGTTATCTTTTTCTTTAAATGTTTTTATTTTATAATAATACAATTTAAGTTAAAAATA